CTATTCTCTTCCTAGAGACTGATATTTTAATGATTTTAATTCCGATGGACATAGGTGCACTTTATTTTAACTTTTAAAGCCTGATCAGCAAAACATCAAGACAGATTTGTGTACATTTTCCCAGTCTGAAATTGAGAATGCTTGGATTGCTCTTGAATCCATAACAGTGGGTCTGGGTGCTAGGCGGAAAGCCACTGGATTTGGTTTCTTCTTTTGGCCTGGCTTTATTTCTAGAAGGGACTGCCACTAATTTTAGAGGCAATTCTCTGAAAAAACAACACTATAATAAAAACAGTAAAGAAAAGAATACAGGATCTGGTTTTCAAATTTCTGTTTTTCCTTGGTGGCTGCAGAACAAGCAAGTTTAAGAGTCTCCTTATTCATGTGGATGGTTTCAGAGAGCACTCAAGGAATTTTTGTCTGTGAAATGTGTGTGTGTGGCATGTATAGCAACTTTCAATAAACTCCATATTCAGGTAATGGGAGTCAGTGTGGGTTTTTTTTAGGAGGGGGAAGGGAGGGCAGGAAATCAATCTCAAGTGGGACTGATTCCAAACACTGACCACTTTTATCCTGACTGCAATTTTGCCTTGACCTTTCCTGACTAATGCAAAATGAGACTGGCTACGTGGAGATTTTTTTTGCAGTGTTTATACTGTAAGAGTCACGCTGACTCAAACAGAACCCGGCTTGTGCTCTTCCACTGAGCCACATAATAGATCCTTTGAGAGGAGTGGTGGATGTAGTGTGGAAGGTCATTGACTCTCAGTCTCTGTACATGCCAAGAGGATGCAGACGAATGGTGGTGTGAATTCACACTGCTCAAAAACACCTGATCACAAGACACAACAGGGCAGCTCAAAAACAGACAGAAGCAGCAAGGTTCTGGGAATTCCTACAGAAAGCTATAGGGACACATCCCCTCCCCTCCCCACAATAGATTAGGGCCACAATAGATTTACAGACTCTGTTTTACCTCTGCCTTTGGATGGCCCTCTGTGGGCTTTTGAATCTCTTCTCCAAAATGCATAATTCTTATGAGAACTGCTGGAGATGCTGGGCCATCCCATCTATGTGAATGATTTAGGAGTCACACCTGTGATAGTGTCTAAGATCAAGACAACAATAAAGTGCTTTGAGCCTTGTCCTAGCTGGAGCTGCCAGGCCCTGTCACTGCACAGTCAGCAGGGGGAAGGAGAGCGAATACCAAAGTCACACACCCACTGCAGGTAGTCTGTTTGCCTACAGGTCACAAACACTTTCCCACAGTGTCTGAGCTCTGGCAGCCCCAGACAGAAGGGGTTTTACTCATCTCCCACTTCACTTTCGACACTGCAAGAGGCAGGATAACTCAGTCAGCCATCAAAGTGAGATTTTTTTCACCTGACATTAGTCATCTGAAAATTGGAGACCAGTGTAAGCAAGTCATCCAGGCTCTTTCTGTCCTGCAGCTGCCTCGATTCACCACAGGCCCCTTAGGCCTCAGGATGGCATGAATCAGTCCATCCCCTCTTCATCTCCCCATGGGGAGCAGAGGGAGCTGAGAAGGCAAGAGTTTACAAAATGTCTAAAATTCTGAGATCTCCTTAGGGAATGTAAAGACGGCTCTACCCCACTTTGCTCTTCTCTGGCGTCCATCAGTTACTATATGGGTGCTGTTCCTTTTGCCTTCAAACTCCTCGCTCTGCAGAGAGCTTGCACTGTGAGAGAGGACAATGCCTACAACTCGGGTGTGCTTCTTTAACAGCTGTAGGGTCACTAGGACTATTCACATGTGTTAGGTTAGATGTATAGTACATTGGGTATGTGACTTGTTAGTGTTAATCTGCATCTGTTTCTTTTTATTGCTGACTGGGGACATATTTGTACAAAGAATGGCCATTTCAGCAAAGTCTACACGCTCCCTAAATTCAGATCTGAAGTCCTGCCAAGCATCTGTGGATGGAAAGAAGTCAGTATTGTGAATAGCTTGTCCCTTCCTCTCATTGTCATTTGTATTAAATTAGTGATAGTACTGTTGTCTGTAATGCCTAGGGGCTGCTAATTAGATTTAGGGTCTCATTCTGCTAGGTCCTGTGCAGGCAAATAAGTTGTTACTGGGTCCATAGGGAGTTTCCAGTTTTGCAAGTCTGCCACCCAAATGCATTCAAAAGTCATTGTTGTTCCCCCCCTTCCCACCCCCCCCCCCTTTTTTTTTTGGGGGGGGGGGGGGGGGAAAGCACAGGATGGAGGAATGTCAAGGTGGATTTGGTTTGCTGTTTGTAGCATGGTGAAGAGCAAGTGGCCATGTTACAGTGGTCAGAGCTGAGGAGAGCAAGCTAAGTTCCATGAAACTGGTGGCTGCTTATCTGTAGCACTGCATCTACCTGGTAAAAGGCATACCTTCCCCTGGCAGGCTGGAAGCTCCTGCAAGCCCAGAATAAAGGGCTGTGTCCTCTGCCTGGCAAAAGACACCCCAGCCCTCCCATGATCTGTATGTTCTCTGAGAAAGCAGGAAGGGACACACTGGTGTGGTAAAGGTCAGCCGCCTAATCTGCTAAAACCAAAATGATAACATTAAATGATGTAACATATTTTAAAGTAGAGAATGAAAATGATATGTTAATTCAGCAGCAGTACTGTTACTGTTCCTGTTCCTGCCACCAGTTTATTTTGGAAACAGGTGTCTCAATAGGACCCAAAAGATTTTTAAAAAGTGTTGCACTTTCTAATATTGGGAATACACTGTTCAGTGATAATCCTCTCATCTTCCATTTATCATAAACATTTCAATTTCTAGGAATTAATTTTTTGTTTGTTTGTTTGTTTTTACCCCCCCCCCCCCCCCTTTAGAATGCACCGCAGTGTAAAACATGAACTCTGTTATATGATCCATTGTTTTATCACAGGCCACAAATAACTCAATGAGCTAAAACAGTATATTATCCCTACTCTTAAATACAAAATCTGGTCTGCATTTGAGAAGGTACATGACATAATTTCCCTAACTTATTTTTTTTTCTTATCATCATTTTTGCAAGCCCAAATGCAACTCCTCGTTGCCTAAGATGTCCTCATCCTCTCCCCCTTTTTATGTGCATGCACTTTGTTCTGTTCTTCCCTTGTGTACTCACCGGACTAGGACAGTTACCGATTCTGACATTGATACTGACCTAGAAAAGTATTCACTCCAAGCTGTGCCCGGAAATAAAGCACTTCTATATTGAAAAAATAATGTAGATTTTGCAAACAAATGTAGACAAGAGAGGACAGATAAGGTTTTAGGCCTGCCAGTTTGACAGCATCCCTTTGACGTGCCAAGCCTTTCTAGCTGCGAATGGATTTCCACTCCAGCTCTGTGCAGAGCAGAGCTGGGAGGCTGAGCAGCACAGAGTGATTGCCAGGCTGGCACAAATGTTAGGTGTCGCTTTTTACCCGCTCTATGAACCTGCAACTATTCCTGTGAAATGGAAACCGAATATTTCAGCCCTCATGGTGTACACAGCAAGCTTGAACTCTCTCCGAACTTGGCTTGTGTTGAAGTCTGGAATAGTTCAAAAGGGAAGAATAGATGAATTGATAAAGGGGAAAACTGTATAGCTTCATGTTCTGGGTAACAGTGCCTGTATTGCTGTGCTAGTACAGCCAGATCAGAAAGCTGTTGCAGCCTGAAAGAAAGCTTACACACATGAATTTTATTTTTATTTTTTATTTTTTCTTGGGCTCTACTGGTTAAAATTATTGCTACCTTGCTGGTGCTACAGGCCCAGATAACCAGAGGTATGGTAAAATAAAATAAACAAAACAAAACAAAACACCATCAATTAAGGTAGCAAGAACCCCAATTCAAGAAGTCATGGTATATATTTTTTTCTTTCTTTCTTTTTATTTATTTTTGTCTTCTATCAGTTTCTGGCAAGAGGTGTGGAAAGAAGGAGCCTGATAGATGCCTGTGTTTGCTCCCACTGGAAACAAATGGCTCTTCTGATAATGTTATCTCTGGGACTGACCTTAAACTGCCAAGTTCACTCCATTTAACATATCTGCTGGGTTAACAGCCGGCTGGAGCATGATCCCAGGATGTGCCAGGTGCCTGGGACAGTCTGTTGACGTCAGTGCTGGGGGGATGACTCTGTCCTGAATGTGTGCAGGAAGAACAGCTCCAGTGTTTATCCAGATCTTGTCCACTGGCAACACCAGTGGGAACGGCAGCTAAGTCTCTCTGAGGGTACTTTGAACTCCAGCAAGGAGATTACCTTTCCAAAGACCACTCTCTCAAATTAGACTTTAGCTTTTCTCTTTCCTTGTCCTGGCCTTGTCAGAGGAAGTTCTGTGGGGGTGATCAGTGGGGCAGAGCTGAAGCCCATTGGAGACTCCTGCTTCCTTTCCTCTGTAAAGCTCTTTAATACATTACAGTGATATTTCTTGGGAAGAAAAGACAAACAAAGAAATAAATGTGTATGATTTGGCAAGGCAAATTAGGGAAGGATAAGCACTTTATATCTGCTATTTTTTTTTTTGCCATGTGCATAAATATTTATAATTGAAACCTGCATCTATGAGCTGTTATATGGTCAAATAAATTACTATAAATATATTTTATATTTATATTTATTGCATATTATATGCAATACAGCAGCATATGTAGGAATTTTTTCTTTGAAGAATTGTGTGGCTTCCATTCTCATTTCCATCACACATTCCTCAGTCATGCAAAGAAAACTGACAGTCTTTCTGGATCAGGATTATTCACTTAATTTTAAGGGGTTCCACTTGCCCAGACACTGCCTCAAAATTCACAGCCAATAACCAGCTAGAAAGGAGCATTCATTACAAAGCAGTAATACAGTGACATGAATTCTGAAGTTTAAAATTATATATTTTTATTTCATTAAATGAAAGCTTTTTAGACAATTTTCTTTACATTTTCTTACATCAATATTCTTGTTTGCCGTTGCTTTTTTTTTTTTTTTTTTTTTTTTGGCCCCTGTGAGGGTCTAATTTTCTGATGTGGGGTAGAGTGCAATTCTGTCTGTTCAGAACGGAAGGAAGTGAAGAGTTTTTGCAAAAAAAAAAAAAATAAAAAATTGAAAGCGCAAGATCTCCACACCAGTTTCTATTTTGGATACTGGTTGTACAGAATAAAGGGCATCATGGAAAACAACTTCTCTATTTTTTTCAGCTCTATGGCAAGATGAAATCCTGGCATGAACTTCAGGGTTGTGATGACCCTTTATGTCTAGATTTGCCTCACCTACTCTCAGCCATATAAATGCCAGGTATTTGGGCTCAGCTAGCCTTCTGTAGCCTATGAGGACAGAGCAGCCCCAGAGGGCATTTCATCCAACCTTTCTCCAAAAACAAGCTTGGGAGGGGGCAATCCTCCTATACAGAGTACACATCTCTCCTTCATGGTTGTTATTAGGCCTAGATGACTAGCTTCAGTTAGACACCTACCTTTCCAATGACTCATTACATGAGACAAATCTGATGCTGATCTAGGTGCAGGGGGAATACAAGGACTATGGCACTGCCCTGCGCTGCCCACCAGCCTGGAAGTGCAAGAAGAAGGGAATTTGAGTCTAGACTGACTGCAACAGGGTGGCCTCTGTGCAAAGGAACCTGTGACTTTCCTCTTGGTACAATTTTATGGTACCTCTGTTGCCAAACCAAACAAATTAAAGGCCACAGTCTGTACATGAAAATGTAACTGTATAAATGCAACAAAGATAAGAAATAAGCTCCAGATCAGAACTAAAGACAAGGCTGAATATATTAAGGTCATATTGCAATAGGTTTGTTATATGTATTTTTGTTATGTGTCTTGGAGGTTTTATCAAATGCTGATATGCTATATTGTTAGAGCTGATCTCAGAAGTGATATAGGTCAAATGAACATTGCACATTCAGTAAAACTTCATTGGTGTGGTCCACCTTGTGGTAAAAGAACAATCTTTATTGGAAGATTATTTATATGTGGATCAGAATCAGGTCCTCCGCAAGCTTGAAAAAGGTGAAGTGTAAAAAGATGGGTTTCTCCAATTACTCCTGTAATTGTGATGTTGGCATTCAGAACCCAATGCAGGCAGGGGAGTCCACAGGAGTTTCACTATTGACTGTAATGGTGAGTGGCTGGGATTCTTGTTTGAGCCTTTCTCAGTGCACAGTAACCACTGCCACGGGAAACCACTTTGTTTGGCTGGATTTTAACCCCCTGCTGGTAAACAGTAGTTTGAAATACCAACAGGAATGGCAATACTTGTCAATGTCAGAGCTTTGGTGAGATGAAGGGGAGTGGCTAAACATTTGATTGACTGAAAACGATAGCATCCTTCCACAGAAATGTATTAAGTTGAATGGTGTAGACAAATGACCAGTTCACACCTCCTGCCAGTTTTTGTGATGAACAACCCAGCTCAGACATGCTGGGGAGAGAAAGGGGGAGGGTGACGTGAGAATGAGAACAGTCTCTGAATCAATATCTGTTTTTTAAAGATATTTCTGAGAACTGTTGGCTTGGGAATTGTACATTTCTCTGACTTAATTATTCATTTTCCTCCACCTGGAAAAAAGAAAAAAATAAAGGTATTGTTCATCATCAGTGAACAAAGTCCATCAGTGGGAGGGTGAATAGCAGGACAGCTCTTGCAGGACTCCGCAGCATTTGCCCCTGCCTCCCCCAGCTGGAGAATCCAACAGCTGTCTTCATAAATACTGTCACTCAGGATTTGAATAGTTTTACATAATCTGGTCTGGAGTGGGGAATCCAAGCTTTTTACTGGTCAAGTGGCAGGTGGGGAATTTAAGCTTTTATAATAGAGCCACAACTGCTGCTCCCACAGGGATTTTCTTTTACTGTCTATTGATTTATTATAAGCTCCAAAGTAAAGACCCCAGGATTAAAGTGGGGGCTGGGGGAGATATAATCTGAAGGCCGGAGTGTGAAGATGGAGAGGAAATCTGGGTCTATCCTGCTGATGCTGCACTGGCCCAGATGGGTGGCCTGCATGCCCTGTTTGTGACCCCTGTGCTGAGGAGGAGAAGCGTTTATAGTGCTGGGTCACCAACTGACACGAGAAAAGGAGAAGCTGCTATTTTAGTTATGGGACTTTGGTTTTAATTCTCTCTCTCTCTGTGTCTGTCTGTCTCTGTCTCAATATCAAAATACGTGCCTGGCTCCTCGTCTTGTCCTTGCTCTGACCACAGCTCATGCCTCTGCCACCACGGTTTCACCAGAGGGATGGCCATTCCCAAGCAGCCCAAAGGCCTTGCTGGCGCAGCCCCATGTGGTCCCACGGCTCTTCCACCCCCGCTGAGGGCCTGGCACAAATCTGATGGCAGCATCTGAGGGAAATCACAACTGAGGAGATGTAGATCTAAGACAACATCAAAGGAAGTGCGAAGTACATCTCTTTATAATCACACAGGCGCAGTGCAGTGCGGGTTTTTCAGAATAATAGCTCACTGGTACTGTGTAAAGCATGCCAGCAAAGCAAACATGGTTAACTAAACAGTGCTGGGATTAAAGCGAAAAGTACATATTCCCTTGCTCACGCTTAGCTGACCATCCCTGCTGTTTGCACTGGCTGTGACGTCAGCCTTCAGGTGGGGGCATGTTTGCACGTTAGAGCTAATGGAGCCAGGCTGCAAAGGGCCTGCCCACCGGCCTCCCTCTTCCTCCGTGGCACTGGTTCCAGCCAGCGGGCCCAGGCTGGCCTGCCCCACGCCAAGGCCCCACGCCAAGGGCGGCAGGGTGATGAACTGCAACCACACAAAGCAGACTTTCATTCACTGGGAACAGGTGCAAAGTGTCCTTTTGTGTGAACAGCTGGGAAAGCTGTAACCCTTCCCCTGCCCACGCTTTGCGTTGCTGCAGGCTCACGCTGCAGGAGGAAAAGGGTCAGAAGATTTCAAGCAATGTTTTCTACACCCGCCTGCTTGCCTTGGAAAAACTGCCTTTGACTCATATCACCAAACAGCTTGCTTTTTTTTTTTTTTTTTTTTTTTTTTTCTTTTTTTCTTTCTTTGTCTTCATTGTGTACAGAGCTGCTTCACAATAAAAGCTGATTTTAAATGCCTCACTACACAAACTAATTTTCTGAAGCTTACCTTTGCCTTGCAAAGGAGCTGCATACACGTTCTAGCATCTGCTGCTGGGAGTCAGTCAATGGCTTTGAGGTTGGTCTTTGGCTATGTCCTCCACTGGACTCTGGAGTTCAGCAGAGAGTACTAGTTTCTCTTTTGTTGCCCTAATGGTGAGAGATACTGGTAATGAAGTCCTCACTCCTGACAAGCATGCAACTACATACTTAAGACATGTAGCAGTAGTTCAGTGAATTCAAGTAAAGTTGTAGGCTGGCCATCATCAAAGGAACAAAAGAAAATAGGCACCCAAGATTGCATGCATCTCAGTGGGGAGGATGATTTAGTAATCTTAATACAGCTAAAACCCAAAGCAGACCCTTCTTCAGTAAAAAACTTTCTATTATATTAGATTCAGTGCAAGAACATCTTATTTTATCAGAATCTTTGCATTTAAAAAAAACTGCAGACAATATATTTTTATTTCCATAAATAGGAAATAAGGAAGAATAATGCTAAGGTGATGCCAAGCACATAAAAATGAATGCAAAATGACCTAAGCTAGTGGGAAAAGTTAAGGCATTTAGTAGCAGAGCAGTCAGTAAATTACTGGTTTTGTAAAAGCATATTATTTTGTGGGTAACCATCTATAACCATTTTCCTTGATAGTTATAAAATGGCTATGTGTATTCAGCGGGAATTTCATAGCATCTTTAAAACCTAAAAGATCCTCTAAGTTAGTTGAAATGACATATTGAAAGCCAATGCAAGTGCCAAGCAATTGGTTATATGACAGAAATTTAAAATTAATAGACTTTGGTAAGCCAAGAGAATTATCGACTGCTCTCACTCTTGCAGTGCTCTTTCTTACAAAATACTCTGCCTTGTACATAACAGGAAGACAGATACATGTGTCAGCATAATATCTCACATCAGCCTGGGAAATCATTGACATAAAAAGATGGTTATTAAAACTTGGTGTATTTCTGGTGGTATATCAGAGTCAGATGCAAACAGTGACAGCAATTGGGGAGATAGTATTTGCATTATTGATCTGTTTTGATCATGCTTGGACATGAAATTTTTACTGCATAAGGAATATGTCTCACAAATGCCCATTGTTTTTGGTTGGTCAAGGCTGTCTCGAATGAAGTCCTTCTGAGAACATGGGGAATTTTGATGAATTCAACTGAACTAATTATTGCATGTTTTCTCTTGGTATTCTGCTGAATCATACTTTCCATAACTACACAATCAACCATGGATTAAATCCTGTCTTTAGGTTAGATCAGTGTTTTTGTCATCTTCTCCTCTCCCTTCTCACTCAACTTCAGCATCTGCCCTTCAACTTTTCTAACGCATTGGTAGTAGGAAAAATTTGGTGGGTTGCGCTGGATGACACATGCATGGGAGGAGGAATGCAGCTGGATTTGTTGTGTTTGTAAGTTGTTCCTTGTTCCCTGGCATGAAGAACTAGGCTGGATGGAACTGCTCTGTGGCTGAGGGGATTGAGTGCAGCTGTTATCAGATGACACCAAGTTGGGCATGAGTGTCAATCTCTTTGAGAGTTGGAAGGCTCTATGGAGGGATCTGGATCAGCTGGGCTGATGGACCAAGATGAACTGTATGAGTCTCAACAAGGCTAAGTGCCTGCACTTGGGGCATAACAACCCCATGGGTATGGGACCTGGCCGTATTGGTTGGTAGTTGGCTGAATATGAGCCAGCAGTGTGCTCAGGTAAGCAAAAAGGCCAACAGCATCCTGGCTTGTATCAGAAATAGTGTGGCCAGCAGGACTAGGAAAGTGATTTCTCCTTGTATCTGGCTCTGGTGAGGCCACACCCCAAATACTGTGTTCAGTTTTGGGCCCTTCACTACAAGAAGGACATTGAAGTGCTGGAGCGTGTCCAAAGAAAGGCAACAAAACTGGTGAAGGGTCTGGAGAACAAGTCTTATGAGGAGTGGCTGAGAGAACTGTTTTTTTTTAGTCAAGAGAAAAGGAGGCTCTGGGAAGACCTTACTGTTTTCTACAATAACCCTACAGGAGGTTGTAATGACGAGGAGATTGTTCTCTTCTCCCAAGCACCAAGTGATAAGACAAGAGGAAATGGCCTCAAGTTGTGCCAAGGGAAGTTTAGGTTAGATATTAGGAAAAATTTCTTCACTGAAAGGGTTGTTAGGCATTGGAACAGGCTGCCCAGGGAAGTGGTTGAGTCATGATCCTTGGAGGTATTCAAAAGATGTGTAGATGTAGATGTAGACATGGTTTAGCAGTAGACTTGGCAGTACTAGGTTAACAGTTGGACTTGATGATCATAGAGGTCTTTTCCAACCTAAGTGATGCTATGATTTTATGTTAGGTCTCCAGCAGTAAGGTGTAAAAAAGAGGTAGTACTTACATAAAATGAAAGCACTGTACTAGAGAAATACCTTAAAGGACACCCTGATTTCTACCTCTTTTGGAAAGAGACCAGCCCCCGCATTAGTTCTGTAAAACTTTTAGTGTGCCTTAGTGAGACAACTGGCCAGCCTAGAGAACTGTAACCCCATTGACCCCCTCCCAGAGGCCCCAGCTCCTGCAGAGAAGGGTGGAATGGAGTGCAACTTTGCAGAGTGAAACTCTCCAAGGAGCTGTGTGTATGGATGCTGAAAGATTTTCACACTGAAACAAAATCTGTTTTACGTTTGGAATCCTGATCTTAAACAGGCAATTCATGTGTGACTTTTCAGCAACTTCAATGGGCATGAGGAAAGTAGGGAAATCTCAAAGACCTGCAAAGAATTCTACAAAATGTGCTCTCTACAATGAATTTAAAGGTCATTGATCTATTATTATCTGGGAATAGGAACCTGTATTACTGGTGAAATATCAGTGCTGATTTTGTTTTTCACAGCTGTCAAAAAAATCACGAGGTAACACAATTACTGTGAACTCTCTATATCTTTTCCTTTTAGCCTAATAATGACACTGAAATCCCTTTACAAGAAAGCCCAACTGGTGAAGATGTTATATGAAATAACGTGGAAGACAGGTACAGATTTCAATGTCATGCTTCAGTTTATGAACTATGTGTATGGTATTAGGAAAAATAGAATCAGTTCAGTAATACTTAATTTGCATAATATTACTTACCCCAGGCAACATGAAACTTGGTAGTTACTGTTTTAAAGTATTGTGATCTGAGGGCCTCTGAGTGACTGTAAAATAACACAAAATCTGTCTATTTCAGTGTAGATTTTTGCCTTCTTTGTTTTGGTCTTCACTGAAATCAAAGAAAAAACAGAAGAAAAAAATAAATAAAAAAATAAAGTGTATTTTGCAAATTAATAGACACAATAGCTAGAGAAGCTAGCGGAGAACTAGCACCTGCAGCTATCCTTAACTATTTTATATTGGACTTGTCTTCAAGTTATTTGGGTTTGTGTTACTGCTCTTTGGAAACCTGGACAGGCAACTTTAAGCATCAAAGGAGAATCACTCAAATTGGAAGTGTGAAACTAAACATTGTTTTCTATTGATCTGCAGTAGGGTGGTGTGTGCATCATGGCTTAAGGTGTGAAACCCCTTAGCAATGTGATGTGAACTTCTTGTTTGTGAAATCTGAAACCAACATTAGATTTGGTTAATTACATGCCACTTGTCGTATGTTGAGGGCTTTTCTTCCCACAAAACCGAATTAGAATATAGGGATGGGTAACCCTCAGCTCGAGTCTTGCCAGTGTGCAGGAGGCATGTGTGAATGAAGATTAGCTAGCATGCTAGTATCATAGAATCATGGAATCATAGAATGGTGTGGGCTGGCTTTCTGGGCTGCAAGCATGCATTCACAGCTCGTGTTGAGCTTCTCTTAACCAGTACCCCCAGGTCCTTCTCCTCAGGACTTCTCTCAATCCATTCTCTGTCCAGCTTGTATTTGTGCTTGGAATTGCCATGACCTAAGAGCATCTCTTTGCACTTGGCCTTGTTGAATTTCATGAGGTTCACACAGGCCCATATCTAAAGCCTATCCAAGTCCCTCTGGGTGGCATTCCTTCCCTCCAACATGCCAACCACACCACACAGCCTCGTGTCATGAGCAAACTTACTGAGGGCACACACTAATTTCACTGTCTATGTCACTGACAAAAGTGTTAAACTGTGCTGATCCCAATACTGACCCCTGAGGAACTGCCACCTGGATATTGAGCCATTGACTGCAAACCATTTGAGTGTGAACATCCAGCCAATTCCTTACCCACTGAGTGGTCCATCTGTCAAATCCATGTCTCTCCAATTTAGAGACAAGGATATCATGTGGGAATATTAGCTGCTTCAGGAATATTATGACTTTAAAAATCCCCATCCCTAAAATGTCAGTGCAAAGAAGAAAACATATAGGTGTAATGTTTTCTGTCAGAATCATGTTTTTATTAGTGGAGCCTGTAACACTGTAGGAGGTGGCTTGATTAGATGAGCAAAAAAACCTGGAGCAAATGCTCCATTTTGAAATGAAAAATGGAGTATGAGATGCCTGCATGTGGAAAACTAAAAATGTATCATATCAGCTGGCTTAGGAAGCTCTCAGTCAAAATGCAAGTGGAAAGCTAACCACTGCAGCTGTTGTCTTGGCTATGAAAGTAAAATCAATAAGACATCAGGGAGGTTAGGAACATCAGGTAGGAGCCAAGATCAATGACCGTGAGAGGCAGACCTTGGAGCCCTGGCATGAATCAGGGTTTTTAATGATGCCAGGCTCCCCTCTCCACCAGGGGAAAAGAAGTCTTCAGGAGGGATTGAGATCCTAGGACTTCATCACCATTGGAAACAAAAAAAATCAGAAGTCTAGAAAGCTGAACATGAAAACCACCAAAAGGCCTAAGATCCCCAAGGCAGCCCTATCATGAGGCTCACAGATGCTCAGTGGTCAGTCAAGTGTCATCACAACACAACCCTGCGTGCACTTGCCAGAAGGCTGTGAATCCACAGCCTTATAAAACATCTTTTGATTCTGGTGTATTGGCATTTTCTCATGACAGTCTTTTTCACCTTATAATGTTCAGGCAGATCTATGATCTCCATGGTGTACACTGCCTACGTCAGACAGCATTTCACTGAATATCTGTTCTGCATTGCACAAGTAAATGTGGGTAGAAGTTCACCCCAAAATGATGTAGCCAATTCCAAGGGGAAGAAAGTTAAAAAGGGAAACTTGTAAGAGGGCACAAACCTGGCTATAATAGTTTCAGACACATCCAGGATTTATGACCAGGGGGTTGAAGCTGTCCTAAACTCACTGGCTGCAGTCTATCCTATCCATTTTCTAAGATACTTACAACTTCCCCATTCACTCACAGTCTGTGTGTTGCACTGCTTCACGCTTGTCACCAGAAACTCCTGTCCTTCAGGGTGTTTCTATCTGCAATCCTTGTGCTCTCCCTGATTTAGAGTAAGTGAATTGATAGAAATAATAGTTCAGCTCTGTAAAAGTGGTCTGGAAAGCCCCATACTTCCTTCTTTCCTGCAAGTCAATCATCACAGTGATCATGTGGGTTCACTGGGGATGTTATACAATGCATGAGTCACTGGCGGGAATTTTCTATCAGATGTATAGGACCAATGCAAACCAGGGGCTTTTCTGTTTCCCTTGCATACTAATTTTCAAAATATTAAAAATCCGTTCCTTTTACAGGAATTACAACATTAAACTTATTTATTTTGATCTGAAGGTAAAATGAGAAGCATATTGAGGTATCTATTAGGTATGTAGCAGCTGAAGAGATGGGAAGTAGCCTTGCTAAAAGTTAATTTCTGAAACAGTGCTCCTTCCAAAGAGGAACTGATTCTTATTTTCTAAGTATAATAACAACAGCAACTACAAATCTGAACATAGAGAGAAAGACCTGAAGAGTTTTTTTTTTTTTTGTAATTGGTTTTGTACTAAAAATTTGTCAAGACAATTTACTAGAAAGGAAGCAAGCAACACTGAATTTCTCCAGTTGTACCAAAAAACATTCTGGAATAGAGAGACCCAGAAACTTTGAGGTGTCTAAGATAAGACTGAGAGAACAGAGCAGAGGTATTATGTTTCATTACTATTCCAGTGGTAAAACATTTAAACTCTGTGTTTACTTCCCATTTACAAACCTGGAGTAATGTTAGCACTTTGCTTTGTGAAAACCTCCAAGATTTAAACACTTCAAGGACTAGATTATTAGTATCATTAATAAATAAAAATAAAATAAAACAATAATAATAATAGTAATAATAAAGAATAAAAATAATAAGGAATATTGTATCAGTAGTTTTAAATTTAACCATACTTATTTTTAAATATTTTAATCTTCCCTCTAGTCATATGAGAAAGAATATGTCTCGGAAACATTTATTTTGAAATTTAATATTTCTATGTCTTATGTTCTGTGTTGAATTTCAATTTGAATTTATTAATTTTAAAATAAATATTTAAATGTAAGTAGCAAATTCTTGGAATAATTTTCATTTTAAATTACTAAATTACATAGGCTTCTAACACTAAAACTAAGATTATTTTTTTTTTTGTAGGAAACAGATTTGGAAAAAAAAAATCCCAATGGCTATTGCTGAAATCCCGTCTTGTGTAATGACCAGCTATAAATTTATAAATTCAGATAGTCCTAGAGGCTCTTGTTCAGTTTGTTTACATAGTCATCATATATATGTATATAGAGAGAAATCAACTTGCAATCATTTTATGTTCAAAGGTCTGCACAACTACAAGCTGTCACAACCTTTCACCTCTGTGAAGCTGTTATGTATTATAGATGAAGTTTATAATAAGTCTATAGTTAAGGTTGCACATTTCTGCACATTTACGTTTCTTAGAGCTTTTCCAGTTATCTGGAAGAATGGCGAAATATTGGGGCTGAAATTCACTGGGTTTCTGGAGTAAATATGTGATGTAACTACTGCTCATGGTGCTCGAAGAACAAATTGTCTTCTCACAAAAATATGTGTATAAATGAAGGCTGCTAAATTCCAAGGAAGGAAAATAGTTTGGGTGTTACTATTTGATAGATCTACATGGAAGACATTTAAAGGGACTATTTTGGCTAAACATGAAACAATAGCAAGACATAAGTCTTCCTGGGAAGAATGTTGAAAAATGTCTTCTTGGGTCTTTGATGACTTGGCAAAGCACTAGCTGATGACATGCAGGGAAGCATCTTGTATTAGCAGAGAATGGCAGGAAGATAAGCTAGTAAGTCTTTTAGATACTGCATTCTGGACTCTCCCTTTCCTCCCATACAAGTAAAAAGGAAATTAAAAAGAAAAAGGTGATACTGAAAATATGAGAACATATTCCTTTGTGACACTCCCATTACTTCCTAATATGATCTCAGCAGGAAGCTCTGCAGCAATAGCTTTTCTAGTTAGATTATTGATAAAAAGTGGAGGTGTTAAAAGAATAAGAAAGAAATAAATTATTAAGTTTGAACAAAGAAATAAGTTTTGGTGGAATTGTGGAGTAGACTGAGGTACTGCATTCTAGCAACTTGTTTGTGTGTTTTTGTTTTTGTTTTTAAATAAAACTTCATCTCAAGCTGACATTAGATTTCTAACATAACTATAGGACATTGAATAGATACTAGTTAAATATAAATAATAGAAGATATAAAATAAATTTAGATATAGCTGGGTACACATCTGAACTGAATTTCGCTAGCAATCCTTGAAAATTTTCTAGTGTGCTATTCAGTGAGAAGTTCCTTCTTGTGGGATACTTGATCAGATGCAGCAGCCTATCTGTCAGGTGTCACCCTGGCAACAGAGGTCTTGAAATGATTTGTCCTATTAGAAGTTACTTCTGAATATAATTACTATGAATAGAATTTTATCATTGAGATACTTCTATTTCATCACTTCATATTGTTTTCCAGTCTCTCTTTCTTTCCTGTGGGGGTAATCTGATTCTCATTTAACCTCAAAAAATGAGGTGAAGACCAGGGCACTCAGCTGTGGACCTGACAACTCTCATTATGTGGTTAGTAGGTAGATGTATTTAGCTTGTATCTACTCAGAGAGACAGTTGCATGGCTATATCCCCTGTTACAATGATGAGACTCCCACTGTGCATAGGGAATTGGATGAGGCTTTTTTTTTTTTTTTTTTTTTTTTTTTTTTTCCATTTTTGAATAGCCTTGCAAACTTTCTCATGGTGAAATTCAATCAGATGGCAATTTTGTACCCTATCTCCTTCTCAGGCTATGAATAATCTTGGAAACAAAAATTCTAAAATGTAGACACAACTTTTGTCGATACACCACAATCCTATTCTTAGACCATAATTAAAGAGATCTCTGAGCTGGTGTTTATAACTTGATGAGACTTCAATAAAACAAATGTTGGAGGGGTGAGTTTGGAGTGGGGTGAGAGAGCAGTCTGAGTGTTTTTCTGGCTATTAAATGATAACTGCAAATAAGTTCAAAGCAAGAGTCTTCCTGTATTCTGAAAGCACCACTTAGTACATTTTCAATGATCATATTTTCATATTACCTTATTTATACAGCATGGCAATTTTGTTTTCATGTTGATGGAAACCAATAGAAAATGGCAGAACAGGGAAATAATAATTTCCAATAGGCTGTTGCTGCTTTTCCTGGAATAGGAATACATGGTCTGGGAGAGAGATTGCATTTAAACCAAACTAGTTCTGATAGGGAGCAAGCATGAGTCATACCATTTTGTTTAAAATAAATCATTGAGTATCTAAGTATCCCATTCTGTTTTGCAGATTGAACTAA